CATATACCTACACAACCTACATCTCATTAATCCCCCACATATACCTACCAACCTAAATCTCATTAATCCCCCACATATACCTACACAGCCTACATCTCATTAATCCCCCACATATACCTACATACATCTCGTTAATCCCCCACATATACCTACACATCCTATATCTCATTAATCCCCCACATATACCTACACAGCCTACATCTCATTAATCCCCCACGTATACCTACCTACATCTCGTTAATCCCCCACATATGCCTACACATCCTATATCTCATTAATCTCCCACATATACCTAAACGTCCTACATATCATTAATCCCCCACATACACCTTCACAGCTTACATCTCATTAATCCCCCTCATATACCTACCAGCATAAATCCCATTAATCCCCTACATATACCTACACAGCAATACATCATTTATCGCCCACATATACCTACACGGCCTACATCTCATTAATCCTCCACATAAACCTACACAGCTTACATCTAATTAATCCCCCACATATACTTACCAGCCTAAATCTCATTAATCCCCTACATATACCTACATAGCAGTACATCTCATTTATCGCCCGCATAAACCTACACGGCCTACATCTCATTAATCCCCCACATATACCTACACAGCATTTATCGTATTTACTTCTTTTTTGTGACGCGTGATTGGTAAATTAAAAAAAGAATTATCCGTGATGAGTGATTTAATCAGTAGAAAAATTCAGCGTGATGCGTTATTGATACCCTACCTTTGCCACCCTCTTAATAGACAAGGGATATTGGTCAGGCAAGAGCCGCGATCCAAACAGGGAATAAACACGTACACGTATGTACGAGACGTCAAATTGAACAGCGTGGGTGCAGTTAAACGAATGCAACATGGTAAAACACACAGTCTTGTTCAATCACATTTTGATTACTACACTTCTTGACCTTCTTAGTGGCTGAGTCATGTAATACGCAGGGCAATCTACCTATCTTGAGAAGGGCTTTGGTCATTTTTCATTGTAAAAGGAGTAAACGTGTCTCTATATATAACGTGAGAAAAATACGTTTTTCTGAATTGAAGATGTCTTACTCTCCCGGCCAATAGTCCCAGAAACGCCTAACCCACTCATTCACTAACTCATTGAGTTACCTTCTTGGAGCCATTATGGCGGCCGTCACTGATCACATCATCAAATGGCGCTGGTGCAACAGAATTACTTCTCTTCTTCAACCATCTTCCAAGCGCCGTGCGTGGCCGTTGTCTTTGCTCTCTACCATTGACCACTTGCCTTTCCCCTCCACCTTCGACACTCTTTTCCTCAGATAACTTTTCAGCTTCGGCAACTTCGCATTTAGATTCCACGGCACAGAGCTTCCCTCCCTTTTCAACTGGATTCTTGGATTCTTTCTCGCCAGCCATTCCACCTTTTTCAGCCTGACCACTGGAATGGGAGCTGCCAAAGTCTTTCCTTTTCTTTTCTTTCTTCTTTTTCTTTAACTTTGGCAGTTTAAGACGAGATTTTTGGTCCTTTTGCGGAGAAATCCAATCGTCTCCCTCGTGATCAAAGCTGAGGGTGTCGGCCACGAGAACAGGCGTGGCTTTGCTCCGAATGGGAACACTGGCAATGGAAGGTTGCTTAAGTTGAACAAGCGGCTTCCCTTCAGTGGAAGAAATATCCGGTAGACCATTCCTCCGCTGCAAATCCTTGTTCCCCTTATTATCTTCTCTCGTCTTTTGCTGCGTCATTTGATCATGCGGCAAGCCCCAAGCAGCTGAATAGCTGGGCAAAGTAGTTTGCTTCTTCACTGACTGGCTTAGCTTCTCAGGACTTGCCGCTGATACTTGACGTTGTGCAGCCATGACGCCAATGTTATCAAAATGTCTTGCTGCATTAGAACACGAGTTGGAAACTGTATCGACTGTTGGCAATACAGCTTGACTCCTACAACTGTCAATCTTGTCATTGACGAATTTATTCGGTTGTTCGTTGTCGACGAACATCTTGCACTTTGGTCTCGGATTTCTCGCCTCCTCAACTTCACCGCGCAAGAATACTCTGTCTGTCGCAGATGACCCATCTGCCTCTTCCATCTTCGCACCTGTAGAGCCCCCAGCCCTGGAGTTCAATCTGCCGCCACTAGAGCCTTTCGTGATGTTCAGGTCTGCTCTTGGGTGAGATTTCTCCTGCGGGAGATTGGCTTTGCTTTTAGCGTGGTTTCTCTTCCCAGAAGAAGCGCTAGCACGTTCCCTGCTCTCGTTTATTCTGGAAGTCACCACAAAACTCTGTATATATCCCATAAACGTTACGAATTTGTCCATTATAACGAAATTTCACTGTCCAACTAGACACGATTTTTTCACGTGGCAAGGCACAGAAAATTATTTTCGATATGAGTGTTTGCTTTATGGCGTCATTAATTTCTATGACGCACAAAATTAACACGACGTATATTAATTGATTTAGAACAGTGTTGGAGATGGTGGAATGACTTGCATTGAATAAAACGAAATTAAATTGCATAGTTTAACATCAAACAGTGGTATACATGGTGTAGTACATTTTTCTCTATATATTGCAGAGTTTTGTTATTTCTGATCTCCAATGTCTTTACAGCGCGCGCAACCTAATCAGCAATCTTTTACTTGTCTGCACAATGCGCGCGCAGTGCAGAGCGAAAAGTCTGGAGGGGGTTGTTCGAAAGCTGGGTAGCGCTACCCACTGGATAAATCAGTGTCCAGCGGATAGCGTGGTTTATTTTGTTAACACTTATCCACTGGATAGTGATTTATCCGGTGGATAGCCTTATCCACCTTTCGAACAACTGGGTCCTGGATTCTATTTCAGTACAAAAAGTGGGGAAAAGGTTATATAGCGGAACAACGCTTGACTCTTAAGACGAGAAAAATTGACTTCCGTCGTCACTGCGGGACAGTGTATTTTCAAAAAGACCATTTTTTTAAAGAATTGTTGTTGGTAACTCAAGATAATTTGGTCACTGGCCCGCCATTTGTTAGCCTTTCTACTAAGGTCTTCAAGAAAAATATTTCTTCAGAATTCTCGGAAACATTGTTTAAAAAGTCTGTTAAATGTTTTTGACATGACTAACTCTATTGATATAGATGCTCTCCGGGCGCCTCTTATATAGACGGGAAAGAAAAAATCTCTGACGTGAAAAGTGTCCGAAAATAATATATAGATTTAGGCCAGCCTAAAAGCGGACCTCCTCAGTTATTTTTCGGNTAAAACTGTCCGAAATTTGGAAGCGTCCGAAATTTGAGGCGTCCGAAATATTTACAGTACAGTATAACACTTTTATGTAGCTCCAAAGCTCTTAGTTTCCTTTATGGAGCGAGAAAAACTGGTTGAGATACGTAAGAATTTGTGTTATTTCTCGTCAGTGCATCTGTAAAACCTTGAGTGTGTGGTAAAACTCTCATTTCCACAGGTCTTGTTTCAGGGTAATTCGCGTTTTGTAGGCGTAAATTTAGTTATGTTATACAAAAGATTATATATTCTTTTGTGTTATGTTACGTTTCAGCAAAGTGTCCGAAAGTGTTGTACGAAATTTGTCTGAAATGCGATAAAAAGTGTCCGAAAATCAAGACGAAATCCGATAGAAAACAGTCGAGCAATTTCAGGTTTTAGTGGACAAAAATCTGGTACCAGAATAATTTTAAGCATTTTACAGTCATTTTTACATTTTCTTAAGGGTAAATACATAAATAATTGCCTGAAATAACACCGAAAACAAGTTCCCATGGGAATGAGAGAAAATGAATTTCAAAGCGGTTCAGAGAACTTGTGCAAACACAGGCAAAATTTCATCATCAGTTTCATTTCAATTCACCAGTACTGTCAGGTGTTTCAGACGAAGTTCGACATTCGTTTTCGACGTTTGGTGTTGCTAGAAATGATTTTTTTTGAGAAGATATTTAAAACAGTCGCACAGGAGTTTGCCATACGATGTAAATAATCTTGGTACTAGGTTTTTGTCCACCTGTTACTCGAACTTCTGGTGGATTCCGTCTAAACGTACGTACGAAATTTCTAGCAATTTTCTGAAGCATGCGCGAAATGGGCAAAAGGTCCTTGCTCGCCCCAGTCTCTCTCAATTATTTGTGAAACCGAGAAATGACTGGGTACTGCACTTTCGATTCAATATGGCGAAGCTTTAAAATGTGCAAATTAAGGAAGAATGCTCATTTAAAAAACCCTTAAAACATGGGAAATGTAACAGGTGGAGGCGTGAACGATGGAGATGATGATGAAAACGAATTTTACGAGGTATTTATCCTTAAATTTTAATCGATATTTTGACAATTTATGCGCGAAATCTGTCTGGGTCGAATGACCCTGCTCGTTACGATAACACCGATCGGGCCATTTGTTAGCCTTCTGCAGGATTCAGTTCATTGAAATTCTCATTGCCAGTGTCTTAAAGCTTAAGTGCACCATTTTACACAAACGTATTGCGCTTCATTTGTTTATAAGCACGCACAATTAGCCTTGTAGCAGCCAAATAATGAGAAATAAGGAGTATTACTTTTTACACCGGGCTACATGTTTTAGTGAACGGAAGCTGTTCACAGATGGATTTGTGATTCTTCCCGGATTTTTCTGCACGCTATAGTGATTCTCCACTACGGTTGGCTGTCTACAAAGCTTTGACGGTTAATCGCACTTTGATTTGAGATAATTCTCATATGCAGTTATTCCATTGTGATGGTTTGAGCATGTTAATTTTAAGCTTACATGTACATTGTTAATCTTCAGGGAAGAGTTAGGGGACGGATGGATAGAAAATGAAATGATCATAAAGTTGCTCAAGTCATTTTTCTATTAATATAATTAAATTATCATTGTTATTATCAGGAATTCTGAGCTGAATTGACCAAGCCTGAAAAAAAAATAAAAAATAAAAAATAAATAAATAAATAAATTAATTAATTAAACCTAGGTTTGTTTACTTATTATTAAGTAGTATTCTGACTCCAGCACACAAGAGGATATCAACCATAACATCATTTTGCACCAAAATAAAAGAGAAGCTTCCTGCAAAGGAATAACCTTTGAGTTATAAAGATTATTAGTTTATTAGGTAGCCATGTACCTTTAGAGGTGTGCTCCGTAGCCTCCTCTGTCTATGACCTGTGTTTGTAAAGCTATAAAGTATAGCAGGACACGAGGAAACATCACAGCTGTTAAAGTGTATTTCACTTTCTTTTAATATTGACTTTTTTCAATATTTACTTGATTCATATAGAGCATTTGTAGTTTTCTTTGCTTTGAAAATTCAACAACAGGAAGAAAAAAACACCAAAAATTTGTGAAACTGCCAACCAAAATAATTGTGTACAAAGGGTAATACTGGACACTGGCAGGAAAGAAAAATGTTGGTTTTAACTAATGAACAAAGCTCTCACTCATAGTTTTTGAAGAAACTGTTGACACACCGAAAGTAAATTAACAGCCATAGATGCTGTAAACCTGAGGTTTGTGGCATTAGCTTTTCATTAGAGAAAGAAAAAGCTATTAATGACCTGCCTCTTGGTTTGCTTCCTGTCACAGCTGATGATTCATAGGCATGCAAGGTGTCCACATTCTTCAGTCTGGTCTTTCATTACTGGATACACATGTAGTTGTGATGCAGAACAGGGTCAGATCAGGATTTTTTCATGGGGGTAGGGCTGGTGCCTTGGGGTTGCACTATCAATGGGGCATGCCCACAAATTGTTGCCATTTGAGAATGGAAACCTATAGTAACTGAAAACTTTTACACCAGAAATACTGGCATTTGCCACAAAGGAGAATTTATAATGAGGTACATGTACATGTACCTGTTCTGTTGTAGTATTCATGATCATTTTCATAATTTTATTTTACTTTTTTGCTTCTCCATAAAAGGGCTGATGGTCACCTAATCCAAACCCTCTAAATCTGCCCCTGTGGAATATACATTTGTAGAGTATTTTCGTACTAAATTGATAATTTTTATTTCCTTCAGGATGGAACAGAGAACAGTTCACCATCAGGTAGTTGCATTTATTCTAAATATTGGATATCAAATATATAAATATATAAAAGTATATATATCAACTGTAATTTATATTTTGTAGTTGTTATTTGGTGAGTGTGAGTAACTTATTATTTAACTGTCTCAACTGACAGTAGGACACCATCATCACTGTAAGTACATTGTGGTACCTACATGTACCCGGCCTCAGAATGTTTATTGTTTCAAACTGATTATTTCAGGTGATATCACTGAGGGAGCTTTAGACCTTGCTATGCTATTTGATCATGGCTTATTACGAGATGCTGCATCAAAGATCAAGTAAGAATTTGTTTGATTTTTGTATTAACCAGAGCACAAAGATGCTTCATAGGCCAGACATTTCATATTGCCAATCTGTGAAAGTCCAGCTTCCTTGTCATAAAACAGCTTTGTAACTGTATTTGAGGTGATCAAAGAGGTAGCCTTTGCAGTGGGCATTAAATAGTGTCGGAAAGGCAAAGTGTGGATGGAAGGAGGCAGACTGGGAAAATGAAAGGTTCCGTCCCCTTCTTCCTCACGTTTTTTGCCTCCCTATCCCTTCCCCGTTTACGTCTGCTATGCAGGCCATCAAAGAGGACAGGTGAAGAATTTGTGACGAAATATTAAATCTAGCTGTTTTGTGGTTTCTCTGTAGAGAGGAACCAAATGAGTCTTTCATGCAGCAACACTCAAGTAGCATTGTACGGTGGCTTGAAGAAAGAAGAGCCAGACATGAGGTTTGGACAATGACAATTTATTGAAACTTAATTGGCCAGGAGATTCAGAGACTGAAAGGACAGTGCAATGTACATGTAATGGGTCCAATCAATAGCAAGTAGGAATATCATTTCCTTTAAGGTTACTCCAAAGTTTTGTGGGGTTACAGCTTCATCCGGACGATCCTGTTACAACTCATTTAATTTAGCAATTTTTGTTTACACTCAAGTGTTGACATTACGCTTTCGAAAATTCTTCACAAGATTGAAGCCATCGTCAAATTTGATAAAGTGTAAAAAGTCGCTGTTGGGAATGCTCTGGCTTTTCTAACAAAACCAGGCTCTTGTATCAAGTACTTTCAACTTTCCTGGACTCAAAACTTATTACCCCAGAGATTTCATGTGTATCATGAGTGCCTAGAGGTCCTTGAAATCACGCTGACCTGTTTCAGTGGTATGAAAACACTGTCAGACAAATCTGATCTGATCTGAAGCCTTTAATTATTCCATCTTGGAACATACACTGTAGGCCACTGACAAAGTCAGTCAGACAAATACACCTGGAAAAAAAAAAAAAACTGATAAGGCATCATGCATAAAATTAGGAAAATGCAAAAAAAGAAAAAAAGAATAACAATGACAGAAAATTTGATCACACTGTCTAGCACTTAAGAAGAAATCTTTTCCCTGAATTTATTTCTTTTTTATATTTTTTAATTATTTGTTTCCTAAATGATTGAAATAGCTACACTAGCGGGACTTTTTCTTCTTGAGACTTGTTGGCTGCCATTATATATTTTTGCTAACGCATTCCCGAAGGTTGACAATTACATGTAAGGCTTGGTTATGAAGCTACCAATGTGATTTATCAAAGACATTTTACCTACTATAATTCTAATGTACAGTCGGAGTAGAAATAAATCGTTAAGTAACTATAAACTTAATTTTTGATTTTTCATGTTGTAGGAATATGTTAGTTTATCGCAGTTCACAGACATGCTGACCGGCAGAGGAGCCAGTAAGGAAGACTGTTTAGAGGTTGGTTGTTGAACAATTTCCTATTTAAACGTTGTTGTTCAGAATCAACAGTAAAAGTATCAAATAAGTCTATTGATTCTCCTTAAAAAAACTGCTTTATATCAGTGAAACCCTATACATGAAGCTGACGAGGAAATGGTATTCGCTGGCTACAACAAATCTTTCTCAAGTTTTCCAATTGAGTAAAATTTTGGTAGACTAGTTCCATGTACACGTGTATTAATGATCAGCTTGCAAGACACTACTTACTATTATTATTTAAGTTGTTCAGTTAGTATAGTACCCAAATTTGTACAGTTTGCTGACACATTGTAAGTTACAAAAGATTACTGTATTTTTTCGGTTATAAGGTGCACTTGGTTATAAGGTGCACATATTAAGTGTATCAAGTTTACTAACTGAAAATTTATCCTAAATACTTGGTTAAAAGACACAACCTGGAGTGCAGGAAATTTTTTGATCATGTTCACGTCGATAACAGCAATATGCTTCCAAATTCGCTAATTATGGTCCTTTCACTCTAACTTGTAAACAAAAGATAAAAAAGTCACAAATAATACTGGTATATAATGTCTTACACTTCACCTTCAGAGCTTACCGTGATGTTGGTGCCCCACAAAATCTGTGTTTTATCTGTCTTGTGTTGAAGTTCTCCTGAAAACACTTGTTCCATGCACTACATATGTCAGCTATATAAACAAAAGTTAATTTAATACAAATTAAAATTAATACAAAAATTAATTCATAATAATTTATAATGTAGTGAACTGTACATAATATTTAATATGACGACAACAAAAATATTTTTTGCCATTTTATCCCTTTCTACTTTTTGTCCAGTTATTTAGTCAATTTGATGCTGATGGAGAAGGATTTGCTGATGTAGAAACTTTTCTGGAGGTTTGCATTATTTTTAGTAACAATTATTAATTTCTAAAAACAAAATTCTGATTAATGTAAAGGAGGTTTGAAACCACTTTCAACTGAAAGTTACATGTATATGCCAGTATTCAATGTTTGAACGCAAATGCACCATCAGCAGTGCCTTAAGTTTTGTCTATCTCTGCGTCATGTGGCATTTTAACTGTCAGATGTTGCTTCTGCAATCAACATTTTTCTCAAAATTATCTGTCTAGAATATATGGATCTACACTTTGGAAGAGAGAATGTTGGAGAATGTGGTCTTGCAGTACTTACAATGAAAATCACCACTTCGTATTTGGCTGATCAATTAGGGTTTCCTTTCTTATTTAAGATTTTCAGCAGGATAGCAACTTGCTTTCACAGGCAGGCAAATGTTTTTGAAGTGAATTTCTTTATAAGAAAAACTCCCCTCTAGACTAGGTGATCAAACCAGGCTGGCAAAATCATTCTCATAGCTGATCAATTTGCCCAGTGCCCGACACTTAATGAAACCACTGGATCAATGCTCCTTTTGCTTTTAGACCCTCCAAACCTTCGGTGGTGGAATCAGTGCCAAAGGAGATTTAAGGACTTCAATAAAGACCCTACAAAACTGCTGTCTTACGCCAGGTACAAAATAGAAATAATTCAAGGGACTATTTAGCTACTTAACATGTATGTATCTACATCAAATAACCATAAGTAAATATTTAAAGGCAATTTGATGCTGATATCCAGCAGCGTGCATATGTGTACATGAGAACGTACATTGCAGGCAAATCATCCCATTTGTTGGCTCTATACTTACAGCGGGCATTGTTGTGTTTGTTGGTGCTTTCAGTGAGAATATCATAGCTTTGCATAAATTTATTTACTAAAATGCAGTAAATAACTTTCCATTGGCAGGATTTGTGGACTGTTTTGCTGAGAACAAGGAAGCAGTTGTGAATCATGGTCGTAAATTGCTTAAGGTGGGTTTCGACAACTAATCTTTTTATTAGCTTTCGTTGTTGCTGGATATCTGTTGTCATACAAGCATGTTCATTTGCCAGTCTTTCTTCATTACTTTTATTGCTTAATTTTCTATTGGGTACACGAATACCAAATATGATGACATTCCAACTTATTCTGTGCTTGATTTTTCATAAACAAAGTTTGCACTAATTACAAACAAAGGAGAAGAGAGCCAGAAATCTGCAACATGTCCGCCATTATGGAAATTCCAGGGAGCCCTAAATTTATTTGTTAGCTTGAATCGGTCCCACTGATAGTTCTGGGCATTTTAAAAATTTCTTTTTCCCATTAATTTTAAAGGGAGTCAGTATGGGGGTTCAGTAGAAGGTTAGCTGACCAGGGGCCCATTTCTCAAAAGCACTGGAAACCTTTCGGGCTCGTAAAGCCATTTTGAGTTCATCTGTATCCAAAACGGAGAAGTGTATATGCCTGAAACCTCTTGTATGAAGGGAACCTCTGTTCATCTTAATAATATGTAAATAAAACAGCTCTGTAATCATAAGGTTTGAGATTTTGCTATGGCTTTCCAGGGGTGAAAACTTTTTGGGACCATTGAGAAACGGGCTCCAGGAGTCAGTGTTTATTTGAAACCCTGCTAAAAGTGTTGTATACTGATGTTCTACTTTGTAGTTCTTGCTGAGAAACAGAGCCACTAGTACATCTCTTCCTTTGCCTGCCCTAGAAGGATTCTGTAACACTTCTGAAATGAGACTGAAAGTTTTACAGGCTTTCATGGATGCACTGAAAGAGAAAGGTAAACAGCTGGGTAAATGCTACATGTAACTGTACCTATGCTTGTCTTAAACAACTGAGTGAGTGCCTCACAGGGTCTGGACATTGTACGTGTTGGTGGGGAGAGCTGAGGCAGTGAAAGAAAAGAACCTTTTCAAAAAACTCAGGGATGAGACTTAAGTTACTTGTCTCAAGTCAGACAAAGTTACTACAAGAACGCCAGTCTGTGATCAGTTACAAAGTACATTCCAAGCTTGTCAAAAACTGGATAATTTGTTTGAGTAGTCTGTTCTATCTGGAGAGGTAAATAAATATCCTTATGGCTTTTGTTTGTTATGCTTTTTTTGTTTGGTTTAATAGCTGAAGTACAGAAGCAGGTCCCATCCGTGGAAGAAGGTGAAGTGCTCAAGCCCTTGATGAAATGTTACACAGCACTTGAAGTGTCAAGCAGCAAGGGCGACATTGCCAGGTATGAGAACTTTTGCTTTGATCTGGCTGAGTGTGTTTCTAAACTTGTAAAGTAGACTAAAGTAGTTGTTAAAAAAGAAGTGACTTTCTCTGTGTCCGTTATATATCCAATACAACTGTCATATCAGGAAGACACTGTGAGAGGTAATATGTAAATTTAGCCAAGCCTAAAAGCAGAGCTCCTGATTGCATTATAATGAACCATAATTAACCATAATTAACCTCTGCAACTGGAGGTTTGACTTTCCTTGACTGTACACCCTCCTTCTCCCACGGAGTAAGAACCTGGCAAAAATCTGTGATCAACACAATGCAACGTGCTGTGGCATACTGCACTGCCTGCCCCGCCCTGTTGTTAAGTGTACAAAATACACATAAAAGTCAATATTCTCTAAGAAAATATCTGTAGAAATGTTGAAATACAGAATCAGTTTTATCGCCTGCTGAGACTCACAACATCAAGGTTTGAATTTGGAATACCTTAAATCCTTGAATTAGCAACCAGGGCACTTATTTCAAATTTAGGAGAAGGGGGCGGNGGGGGGTGTATTCAAGGGGGGACTTATTTAACTTTTCCCAAATCATGACCTGACATGGTCATTTTTTAATACATCCTATGCACGTAAACAACAACATAAACTGTTTGTGAACATAAAAAGCTGATCCTAAAGTTTAAATCGTGGCACCTTTGCTACTGGTAATTTTTTTCTCTAAACTTAATGTGTTCACATACTGAAACATGTTTCAGGTTGCATTGTAAAGATGTAAATTACTAAATGACTGTAAGAAAAAAGCTGGACAAGAGTGATTAAACACTAGGAAAACTATACAGAAATGTACATCCTTTGTTGTCTAGTTACTCATCCACGAAATGGGGGGGGGAGGGGAGGGGAGGGGCTTATTTCAGGGGGGCACTTAATTTTAAATTTTGGCTGATAGGAGGGGCACTTATTCAAAAGGGGCGCTTATTTGGGGGGGGGGGCACTAATTCGAGGATTTACGATGCATGCAATCTTAGCTAAGGCTATAGTGCACCCTGTGTGGAAAAACGTTAATTATAATTCCTTATTATATGGCTCGTGCTTGTAGTCAATATAACAGATGCTCTGATTGGCTTATTCTTGGGCAGTAATCTTCTGTAATGCCCACAGGCCCATTACAGGCCTGCCAAAAGAAAGCAAAAAGCCATACATGTATGAACATTTAGTCTTTACAGGAAAATCTCAAACCTCAGCCTTGCCATATTGACCTTGCTATTGCACACTCAATGGGTAAGGTCTTGGTTTGAGATTTCCAGGCCATCAACTGCAAATTTTTGGTTAATAAGTAGTTAATATTGATTGTGCAGTACCAGAAAATATCCATACTCCCCCCACAGAAGTGATCGGAATTTCCTGGGGGGTGGGGGTTCTCTAAGACCAAAAAATTGAAAGAAATGTATCAAGTTTAATTGGAATTTCCAGAGGGGTTGGGGTGGGGGTTTGTCTTGGAAAAAATCCCTTCCATGGGGGGGGTATGAATATTTTCTGGAACTACACATTGATTATTTGTTGCTGGTTGACAAATACCTGTTTAATGTTTCAGGTTGACAAATGGAGACACAGGTTCTTACTGGCAGTCAGATGGACCTGCCAGGTCTCACTGGATAAGGTAAGTACTGTTACCACTTTGTGACATACAGTACAGTGTTGTGCAAAGTAATGCAAGCAAAGTTCAACAAAATTCCTGGCTTTTCGAAGAAATTTAGCTTGAAATGATAGTTCAACAAAATTTCCCCGCATTTTTGTGACATCTATCTTTGCAATCCACGCGAATTGTCGGAGAATAATTCACTGTGCCATAATTTACTCCTCCCGAAAAATTTGCTGTGAGTTTTTAAATGATGATTTGCTGTTCCTGAAAATTTGCTGCAATTTTTCAAATTCATCTTCTGTTCACAAAAGGCTAAGAGCTATGAGTGGAATACATAAATGATCATGAAAGAAGTCTTTAATATCATGAAATAAAATCATAACTCCATGAACTGTTAGCTATGAAACTCACCTGGTTATTTCACAAGGAACACTCAATATGTTGACTTAATCCAAACCCCAAAACACCACAGTTCCATTAAATACCTGAACTTGTTGTTAATCACTTAATACACTTGCCAAAATGCCATTTTCAAATTGTTGAACTGTTTACACTCTGACTGAAATTTCCTGAATTTTTTGGATTAAGGTGAGCAACCATAATCTAACAGACAGTGTTTCTCCAAATACAGTGTCAATACATATGTCAATACATATGACACTGTCAACTCTTATGACTGTCAGAGTTGAAATTGAAGCTGTTGATCAGAGAGACAGTTGGGTTTTTTAAAAATATTTTTCAAAATGAGCTTTGAGATTTGTTTGATTAGTTTTGTGTATTTTTTTGAGTTATAATTAGTGTTTGAGACTGATTTATCATACTTGTGTTTCAGATTACGAATGCGGCCAAATGTTGTGCTAAAACAACTGTCAATCAATGTAGGCTCATCTGACCAGAGTTACATGCCACAACATGTTGTTGTAACAGCAGGACGGGATGAGCAGAATCTCAGGGAAATCAGTGACTGTAGGATCCCTAGGTATTACATGCATCCCTTGTGAACCTTAGCTCAAAATAAGAATTCTCATTGCTTGACATACATGCACGCTTCTTTTTGTGCCCGTCTTGAGAATCTCAGGAAGGGGGAATCTCATATAAAAGGGATGGGAGTTCTCATGAGAAATTTTGAAAACAACCCATGGATGAGAGGTACCAAGATCCTGTTTTGGGGGCATGGCTTCAATTTTTTACACCCTCAAGAGATTATACATGTACCCATTGTAAAACAACACCTCATCTATCTCCTGTCATATTTTTTTGGCTCAATACCCTAAAAGGTACAACGTGCACCCCCTTCCTTTTTATGTGGGAGGCCCCGCAGCCGAGAATTTGATGTCATATCAAGATGATATCCCCTTGTAGTCAAACAGTCCTTTTTGTCATTCTCATTACTTGACTGCCGTGGTGTCCAATGATTTTATATTGAAGGCCAACTTGGATGTTTAGATTTAAGAAGAATTTAACAGAGCATTTCATTGTACTTCCGGCTGGTGAATGCTAGGTCACTTACAGTCTTTATAGTGGAGTTGATAAATTACAATGTTTTGAATAATGTTTAACACAGTTCTGGGTAAAAGAAGCAAGTTAATGTCTTTGTATATTTGATCCCATCAGTCAGTTCAATGGGGACTTTGTTTTGGTGGATAACGTGAAAATTCCTTATCCAGGTATGTAACAAGTAAAATTACACATTTGTGTGATAAATTAGGTTATTCTGTAAGAATATTTCTGGCAATGAGTGCTCAGTTTGCTGCAAGTTCAAAACTGTTTCACACAATGAATTGTAAGAAATCTCAAAGTCTACTCTACATTTGCTTCACTAAGTTTGTTGTTCTAATTTTAACAACTGAGTTATTAAATGACTCTGACAACTTATGAGTCAGGATGTTTTGTGTCTGCATCACAAAAATGTTGACAGGTGGTAGGGAGACCATGCACTGTCCATGAAAGAACCTCTACATGTTCACACATTGTTATTTAAAGTCACTGTCTGTGGTTTCTTGTGATTCCAGTGATACAAATCAATATTAGAAGATGCCACAGTGATGGCTGTGATACAAGAATACGAGGAATCAAAGCTGTGGGGTACAGGTGAACAACTGACTTATATTATTAACAGCTATAATTTGTTTGATTTTATAAAAAAGGCTAGAATGTCTGGCTGTCATTGGTTTCTTTTTCTTGACACGAAGCCACTATTAAAGTTTTACCACATGTAAATTTATGCTGTGCTACTCTTGAGTGATGCCAATTCACTGTAGGTTATGTAAACCCACATTATATCTGGTAGGTTTCCTCTTTTGTAAACAGTTTGTCAGCACTCATTTATTACTCTTGTGCTAGAATGATGTTTGAAGGCTGGATGACACTATCAAGCAGATAAATGGCTATCCAATGGATAAGTGTTAAAAATACCAACTACGCTATCGACTGGATAGTGATTTATCTTTCAAACAGCCCACATGTGGTTTAGAGTGTTTCTTTGCCAACATTTGATATGTACATGTACGGTACCTTCCATTTTGTCTCCCTGGCACTCAGAAGGTCTGACTTGCTTTTCTTATTAAATGTGTGATACACTCAGTTGTCTGTGTAACTGGTGGATTTTGTTTCAGAGTTTTGAAAAGTAAAGGCATGAGTGTGGGTGATGCATCAGCTGTATGGTTTCTGTCTGTTCTGGGAGCGACTGCTACTGCTGCTATGCCTATGGCACCACACCTTAGGGATCTTATCTTGTCTCATACAAGGTAATTAAACAGCCTAGGGCTAAATGAGCTGTGCTATCAAATGGAGTTTTAATGATTGCGAATGGCAATTAATAATGGTTATTTAGGAGGGAGATATATAAATAAATGCCCCTTTAAGAAGCATGCTATTCTATTAAATGCTATTAAATGTTAAAATACAATGTACTGCTTGTTGTGCATTGAAAACAAGACCACAAAATCCTTTAAATTTAATCACAAGTAACAATACGTGATTGAAGGAAAGTTGTCAAGAAAAATAATAAACTGTAAGTCAGTGGTTTTTTTTTGGAAACTTGTGTTTACCATGTACTTACATGTATTTGCAGTTAGAATTGTTTGTAGACATGTATATTGAAGCATGTACATGTAGTTAGTTAACCTGACTATGATGTATTGACTGACACACTTTTTCAGTGTTCATTCTCATTTTTTCAGAAGCTTGTATCCTAGTTTATACTTTGTATGGACAGTGCTTTCAAACAGCTGTGTCCAGTCAACACGTATCAGTTTTGTTGCGTGTCAATTTTTCTTATAATTATATCTTTTTTAGACTTACTTGGCAGATCAAATGATATAATTTTTTTGTTTCATTAAAAGGTCAGCCCTAAGCCACATGAGGCCAATGTCATTATCCTTAACATCACCAGACAGACCAGCATCCCTCTCTCATAATGTTCTTGAGGAAATTGAAAATTTTCTCCATTCTGTTGTAAGGTGAGATATATGTTGTACTTTAATTTGTAAATCCCTGTTTTGCCCTAAAGTTACTTTTATCAATCTGATTATCAGGCTACAGCTTTCTTTGTTTACTTGTACAGTGTATTAGGTTTTCTTGAACTGGTTCTGACATTACCTCTGTATTGTGCTATCATTGTCATTTCTGCTGAACCCATGCTTTTTTTTTCTGGTTTCTGTCAACAAGTCTCTACCTGGCAAAGTTTTTGGTAACCAAAAATTATTTGTGCATCTGAATTTCTTTGTAGATATGAAGGTTCAATTCAACCAGAGAGTTTAAAGATTTTATTGGAATATACTTTAGCACGTGGAAATCTAACAAGTATTTTTAAAGTTCTAAAATTACTGTATGGTAAGAGAAAAATATATTTGTTTTTTATGTCATTTTGGAAATTACCTCAACTGAGTTTGTGAACTGATTTTTGTACTTTAAAATCTTTCCTTAAGAAATTGCTTTTGAAGATTTTGCTGCTGCCGAAATTGTGAAATCATTAGAAGATGTTCAACTTAGAGCTACAAAGCAACATGGTAAGTAATTGTCGTTGTTTAAATTTATATTTGTTTTAACCTTTTCAAACCCTCTGGCGAATGCAACAGAAGGTTGCTGAAAATTTATAATTAGTTTTTACCAAAGTTTTCTTATTAGATTGATCGCACATGCTGTTAAATCACCACTTCACGGGCCTGCCCAGTTTCAGATATTTTGTTAAATCCACCACCCCGGGGCCATGCATTGTTTATATGTACAGTAACATGTACATCATAACTTTACGCTACAAGAATCAATTGTTGTTATTTAAGTACATTGTATCTGAGTAACAGCATGTGTGTTTCTTGCTGTTAGGTGCAATCTTAAAGATGTCTTTGTCTTCTTGTGATGGAGGCCACAAAGATAACCTTTCAAAACCAGAGAATGTTTTGACAGACAACTGGTCATCTGAAGGTAAATGTATTTAATGTAAATTCCGTTGTCAATCCAAGCAGAGTAGCCTGTTGACACTAGAAGCAAGGCAACTTTCTGAACTCATTTGTCACCTGCATTATGTGCTACGTGCATTTAGCTTTCATTGCCAATGTTTGGGCTTTGCATTTTGTTAAGTGTACAGAGTATGTAAAGCGTAACTCACCATACATGTCAGAAGGTAGCAACTTAATCATGTCTACGTGTACTTGCTTTTGATCAAGCTTACTTATCAGAGAGTGGGAAGACGAGAGTGTCAATGATGTTTTCAAGCGCTGCTTCTGTTCGTGTTAAACTGACAAGGTTAATCATCAAGGTTGGTAGCATAATTATGGTAAAACAACTTACCTTTAACCAGTAGTTATATCTTTTTTTGACTTTATCATGAGCCTGGTGGTGTTTTCTTTTGGCAACTTGAATCTTAATAACCTGGTCAATGTAATCGTCTCTTTTCCAGGTGTCCAAAGGAGAAATTGGTCCATCACATGGGTTGGTGTTTGTTCTGGATGATTTAAAAAGGTACAGGTGATTTTGTCAGCTACACTGTATCCGTTTCAATAAAGATCAGCGATTCAAAGTTTGAAAACAACCAAATGGTATTAAAAACATTCATGGTCCGATAGAAGAGGCATTCAAACCAGCGCGAGAACCCTGTGGTGTTGGTCAGCTTGCTATCATGTTACCATAAAATTCCGAAAGTAACGGCCCGCATTGCTTTTGGATTTAGCAGACAAAAGAGGCCGCTAGTTTCAGGTAGCCGTTGACAGTCATTTCAGACAAAGCGGGCTCGTGTATGATACTGACTAACCACATAAATAAAGTAGACTGTGTGAACAAGAAAGGCCTTAAATTTTGGTACTACTCTCGGATAGGCCGTTACTTTCGGGAAGACTGCTACTTTCGGGGTTTCGATTGAAGGTAAAAATTAACGTTACTTTCGAGGAGCCGTTTTTTCTCGAGGAGGGGTGAGGGCGTTATTTTTGGAATTCTACGGTATGCTTTCATACCATCTATGCTCTGTGATTTTACCAGCTCACTACCTAAGGTTATTTTTTTTTTTAATGTTATAGTTAAATTTTTAAAAAAAGACTTTGATCACAAGTTTTGCCTATGTTTTGAAACTTTCTACAGGTTTACCGTAGATTAATTACTATTTTTTACTAATGGAAGGGAGTGATTTATTTCATTTCAGAGATGAAAAAGAAAAAGAACGTGAAGGAAATGGACATGAAACAGATGCATTAAGCAAGTACAATGACTGGACCAAAGCTACATACACAGATTATTTAGCAAGGTGAGATTACATGACTTGTAGCTACAGAGCAATTCTAAGGCTTCTAGGAATATTTCTTACAGTTTGCTTGACTTATTTAATTGTAACTCTCCTTGTTTTTCTACATAATTTAGTAAATTATTACTTGAGGGTTCTTTGCTTTGAAGATCATTTTGTATAAACCTTATAAAGGTAAACAGCTCTTGGGTTATTTTACTATGGACACAAGTTGTTACTAAATCATTGGCAGATGGATTTAAACTTAAGACCCAATATCGGTGGAATTAATACCAACAATTTATAGCTTTCAGTCCGGTTTTTTCCAGTGCTAAAAAAAACTGCTAAAACCTCATTGATTTTAACTGGTTTTGGTTTGGTTTTTATTTTCTTATTTTCAGTTCTAAGGAGAAATCAGAGATCAATCACGATGAGCCAGTGGCCTTTTTTGCGACAGAGGAGGACTGGTATGTTGAACTAGAAATGAGTGTGCAATGTACCTTAAGTACTCAAAACTACATATCAATTGATTTTTGGTAAAGTTAGTGCCTAAAAGTACACTTTTTTAGAGATTAATGGGTGGTAAGGCGTTTTGTATCCACAGTATGTGTAGTCAGTGTGCGGTAAGAAAATAGCCATTTTTGCCAAGTTTTTGGTGACTCTGTTCAATGGTCTTTGCTAAATAAAACAGCAACCAGACATTAAAATCGGAACGTTGTTATTTAATTACAGTTCAATTATTATTATCACTTTTCAGGGATGAAGTTGAAGTTCATGTTGATAGGATTTTGACGGGAAAGGTATTTCCTTGTCATATTGTGTGCGATAATAAGAATGTTCTCTGTGCATGTGATCATGTTGTGTCTTAATATCTTAGGACATATGAATTTGAAATTGCAGTTAAAGATGATAATTTAACCCTTGGTCAAGGTTAACCTTGGATAAACACTCATGGGCCTTGAAAAACATTAATCACAGGCTCTATATTACGTTGTAACTGCTGTTAAATAGTTACTACAGGTACTGTCCATTCTTTCCTGTGTTCTATTTTACAGTATGTTGTGGTGAAGTTTCTTGGAGCAAGGAAAGAAAGCGCTGAAAGAATCGGAGTGCTAGGAGTCAGCTTTTTTGGTTATGAAGTCAAGCTCAACTGTCCTTTACATGATGATTTGCACTTGGTAAAGTTTGGAACCTTTTTGGATTGCCTCTAGATATTGTTATAATGAAATTTCCTAGATCTTTTAATTATAAGTTTAACAACACTCACTTTTGTTAAAAGAACAATCTTTGTCGAGATCATACATTTTCCATGTTTTATATCCTATTGTTTGCTATGCATGTGTCAGTGTTGAATATCTAAGCCTGTTCTAACATAAATCAAAAATCATTGTTTTTATTCCAGAATGATGTGGCTCCTCTACCGAGTGGAAACACTGTAGAAGGCTCAACTTTGTTTATTCGAGTTCTTTCATTTCTTGATGAAATGGCTAAGGACCAGGTACTGATCAATATTTCGCAAAGTTTTCCTGTGTAAAGTAGGATTTTCTGCTTTTTCAAATGCAAATTGTTATCACCCGTGTTCAACTTTGCTCATTTTTTCCAGATTCGTCTGAAATCAAGACCTAAGAATCCACCTTTATTTAAGGAGAAGGTATAAAAATTAATATAAGTGTGCTTTATATTATATTGTATTTGATTTATGTGTCTGCATGTGTGTTTTATGATATAGATAGATTATTGTATTATGTTATTACTTTGTTTGTATTTGCAGGAAGGTCAGCTAGAAATGAGTAGTGTCAGTCTGGAGCTAATCTGGGATGTTTATTCACTTGTTACAAGCAGGTACAGCTCAAGACCGTGAATGATAACGAATTAGAAAACAGTCCTAAGAAAACACGCGCGCTGATTGGTTAACATTCGTGGTTCTATTAAACAATTAGATTATGAGCTCGAGATTTCTATTGCGTGATAGTTGACGAGGGCGCAGCCCGAGTCAACTATCACGCAAATCTACTAGTTGTTCAAAACTATATATAAATCCTCTTCACAGACACTTCAAAAAGCCAAGAAGCGGCCGTCATTTTGCTAACAAACACACACTGCCACGTTAACCACTATCTATCACAGAATAGATAGTGAGTAGCGTAGTCAATCAGAGAACGGCATTCGTGATAGAACGCTAGTAGATTTAGACTAAAACTCGATAGAAACACGGTACATGTTTTCTATATATTTCTTAAATCCTAGTCCTTATCCTCAGAGCCCAGTTGTTCAAAGGGTGAATAACGCTATCCACTGAGTAAATCACCATCCAGTGGATCATTATTGGCAAAACAAACTACAACTGTAAACTGGGTAGTGACTTACTCTGGAGCCAGGTCATCTACGTCTGAACGAACAATGATTACTTTCCTACGTTGTTAACATAATAATATTCTACTATACCGTGGGCCGTAACTTTGGTTGTTTATTTACAGAGGAGTAACACACAAGAAGATAGTTGTGTCTAGTTTGCTTCTTCTTCGTCTGTTCCACCAAAGCCTTCCATACTTGAAATCCAACATCAGAGAACTGGTAGCTGACAACACTGACAAGGCAGCATTTGAAAAGGTTCGGCTCAATTTGTTTTCTGTATTTTCGCAGGGAATTTAGTGTGATAAGAATAAAACGAGTATTGCCTGTCTCTCTGAGGTTACAGCTCCAAGTCCCGGAATCTTAAAATGCCATCTTAAGAGCTCAGATGAGATTTGCCTATGAGTGTAAATGGAGAACCTCGAACATTCCTGTCTTTGATACTAGACATCGGCTAAGAGGAAAACCAACGAAAGAGATTCAAAATCTAAAATGGAACAAGTGTGTTGGTTTTATTGCAGAGCAAAAACTAACTGTTGTATTAGTTTAGCATTCTGCTTTTTACATATGTGCCTTGAGTTAGCTTAAAGGCTTGTAGAATGTAGGACATCTACAGTGGACAACAATTATGTATTATGGATATTTATTTTTCAGCAACAAGAACTGTCTTCCAAAGTTTTTGCTCATTTGTGTGATGTTGTGGATGATAACAAGCAGTTTTACGATGAGAAGATTCATCAGATTTCAAAGTTGATTATCTTAGAAGGTAAAAGCTGGAAAAAAAAGCCAAACGGTTATTTGATATCTATTACTTACATTTGCAATTGACATTGGTTCACTTCACATTACATTAGAACCCGCCTTAGGCTCACCTCGTTATCATAGTTATTGGTTTTACAATATTTAGTGTTTGCGACCAGTTTGGTTTTTACCGCAACAATTAATATCTTTCACTTTTGATACCACCGAGTTTATGTGAAAACGTTTGCGATATTTCTTCATGTAAGAGTCTACATGTGCGCTTTAATTTTTTGAAAGTAACAATATTTAAAGATTGGCCTGTATCTTTCCCTCGTAGGAGCAGAGATTTTCTTCCCAGACTCGCAGACAAGACGAAGTCATCTTCTGTCCATGGTGGATCAAGTGATGGAAGAAAAGAAAGCAGTGTCTCTTGGTCTGACATTTGAGTCACTTTGTAGATTCTTCAGTAACAAAGATGCCAGTGGTCTTCTTGGACTTCCCAATGCTGTGACAGAGGCAAGTTCGTCTGATTATGGTCACGTACTGTCGAGTTATTTGTAGACTTATATATTTATTATTCGACAAAATTAATTGTCGTGATGTAATCTATATGTGACTGATGTCTTACAACATACATAGTTTGCCATATTTGGAAGTACCCTCAAGAACATTTTTTGACATTGTAAAACCCTGGCCCGTCTTTTCGAGTCTGGGAATCGGGGAGACGAATGAAATAAGCCCATCAAATCCCTGTACAACCACAGATGTCTTAGCTATAGAGCGTGTCCGCATGACGTCACGGCAGCCCTATTGGTGTTCCAAAACAACGAAACGGCGGCCATCTTTGTGTACCAAACCAATCCTGTAGGAGTTGAATTCTTTTCTCATGTAAACACTTGCTTTTGGTCCATTAAATTTGCATGGCTGCTTGCCACGCGAGTGAAAACGCTTTATAAAAATACAGGATAATCAAAATATTTTATCACACCATCATTTCCCAAACGCCATGTCATGAGTACTCATTCAGATGTGTTCAAAAATTGTTGTGTTGTTATAGGAAGGGTTTGACTGCGGACCTGTTCTTGGTGTCATGACAACACTACTGTCCGTAGCATTTCAAGAGGTACGCTCAATGCTAATCATAATGCCACTCTCATCTTTATATGGCATACTTCACCGTCACCTTTTCTCTAAATTTATGTCTGCTATTTTGTATTTAGTGCCTCACTTGTTTGGCAGCAAGTGATCAAAGTCACAATGATTCGACATCTAACCTTGTTCAGTTATTGTGTGCAATGCAAAGAAGTCTTCTCACATGGTGCAGCACACAGATCAAAAGTGGAAGTTCATTTGGCCAGGATGTTGCAACGACACTTGTAATAGAATGTAAGTTTGTAACAGTTGCTATTATATCTCTCAGGTACTACGTGCACTGAGATTGGTCAATTTAGCGGGCCATATTCCACCGTACTAGCCACTAAAAATTTATTCCGGTAGTTGTTGCCAAAATGTTTCGTGATTTATTGCCAGCAGTCTTCAAATTTTATAGCAAGTAAAAGTTTAAAACTTTCTTTTACTTAAAATTGTGTGTTAAAACGTGCTAACGACTTAACAACGATTTCAAATTGACTCGTTTTGTTTTCGACGTGCGTCAGAAATTTGAAGCCGTTCCTCGTGAATGGAAATCGTTCCCGAACCCGTAAGACACACAATAGAGATAAAATAAATATCGTACTAACCTCGTCTTCTCGGTTAGTACTGTAAGTTACGATCCTTGTTTTTTTCCCTTTCGATTTATGTCCCGCGCGCATTAATCGAAGGGAAAAAAAAAATCGGTCCGTAGCTTACAGTACAGACCTCGAACTCGGTTTGAAAGTGGTATTTACAGTCCAATTGTCTGCAGTTGTGTAAACGTTCTATTCAATATTTGGCAACATAGCTGCCCTAATAGACGCTCAGGGTATATTGTAGTCAGCCTCATTCTTAAGGTGAATCGTGTTATGTTTGATTCCTGTCATTTATGTGCCTTTCTTGTTATTACAGACGTTGCTATTCTCGCCAACAAAGTGTTCCTGTCACTTCAGGCGGTAAATGATGCAGAGGATCAACTGACCGTGATTGACAGACTTGAACACTCATATGTGTCGGCAGCCATGAGGCAGCTGGTATGTCGGGTTTCAATTGTTCTGTTCACCTCAGCTTCTGTAAATTAGCCAGCTTTTCCTGCATTGGGTTTCTGTGATTATAAAGAGTCCTGGAATGCCATACAATGTACACTTACGTATTATCAGGCAATTCGTATCAGACTGTAATTGTGCTTGCGTTCCCTGTGCTTGCCCGGGTTGGTCGAAGGGATCTTGTCAGCTCTGCCTAAAAGAGTGTTCACTACAGATTATTTGCTTCATTGCTACACCCTTGTCGTTCAGTCGAAACTTCTTTTTAGTGTTTTAACAAAACGTTTGTTTCAACGGCTTTTTTAGACTTTCTTAAAGTTCTTTCCGATAATATTTCCCGGCCTGTTGGTTTAATGTCCTTTTGTAAGCGAAGGACTAAGCAAAGGTCAACTTGTGACAAGTCTACGGCTTTTTAAGCCGGTGTCAAACCCGCTTTTATATGTCAGGAATCCTGGTTTCAATTGTAGTATCTTTCGTATAACCTACTAATACGCCATATTGTATTTGCTGCAGGTTCTCTTTCTTAACTTGTTTACAAATGTGGATTCCATTTGTATGCCAGTACTCAGAAGCCTCCAACCAGTGACTCTGGAGTTAAAGAAATTTTCAAACAAATATCCAGAGCTTTTCTTTAAAGTAAGAGTCATTAAAAGTGTTAGCGGTTAGGTTTGACAAAGTCTCAGATTACGTAAACAGTTGTACTGAAGCAAATATACTACACATTATGATCATAGGTTTCAAATGATATTCACGGTTTACCTTTATCGACTCCCTAATACCGGTGTCCCAGGGCATTATTTTGAGCTTAAAGTACGGCCCCGTCGACACTACGCCGGAGAAATTGAAAACGCAGCTTTATTTCTACAGTTAGGCCTGCCGTCCACATTAATCAGTCACGAAAACGGAGCTTTTCGATACCGCTCTTCAATCCGAAGGAATTTGAAAAAAAAAAAAGGAAAAAAAAAAAAGAAAAAAAAACCGCCTGCTTTGCGCTTTAGTGTGGACGTAAAACATTTTGAAAACAGAGCTTTTCGAAAACGATGGACGTTGAGATTATCACGATATTCCCCTACCTGAGTTTCCCTCAAACACAAATCCAAAATGGCCGGTCTACATTCAAGATCTAGTAACGTACTACCAACCTTCCAGAATCCTCCGATCATCACACTTATTACTTCTTAACCCCACGAATTTTCACCTGAAGACGTATGGTTCTCGAGCTTTTGCTGTTTCCGCTCCTGAACTCTGGAACAGTCTACCTGTTTCTATCCGCTCATGTGACAATCTAAGTTCTTTTAAATCTAAACTCAAAACTCATCTTTTTAAGAAAACTTATTACTCTTAGCGATTTTTAGTTTTTATTACTTTCTTAAATGCACATTTTCAATTATTAAGATTAGTACAGCTCATTTTAGCGAATTGTACAGCGCCTAGAGCAGGCATGGATAGACGCTATATAAATATTATTGTTGTTGTTATTATTATTATTATTATTATTATTATTATTATTATTATTATTATTATTATTATTATTATTATTATTATTATTATTATTATTATTATTATTATTAATTGGTGTGTTTTCAAATTTCTCCAACTTAGTGGGGACAGCATATTTTCGTGCCAAACGGAGGTTATCGTTTATTTAACGTAGATCAATTAGTTTGCCTCCATGTGAGATTTTCAATACTTTCAAGGATAATTATAACATTCTGTTCATGGATTAAACATATCTTTTCGTCCACAGATTGATTCTGAAGAGTGGAATAAGACCCAGGGACAGACTGTGCTGAGAACATGGGAGGTGGAGTCTGCGCACAACTACGAGAACAACCAAGACGTCAAAATGGTAAACTCGACAAACTTGTTTTTCACGTTTTTCTTTTTCTCTGGCAGCTGTCCACAGTTTCAATATCATAATCTGTATCTAAATACAGTCCAACCCCTATTAAGCGGCCACCCCTATTAGTTAGCCAGTAATCAACGTCTCTATGAGGGCTTTTCTATTGTTTTTACCTCTATTAAACGGCCAACCCCTTTTAAGCGGTCACTATCCATTTCCCCGAGGATGGCCATTTAGTAGGGGTTAAAGTGTAGTTGTGTGATGTAATAAAATAATGATTAAAGTAAGGAAAGAAAAAAAGGAAAAACGATCCCCCACCCCAAAACAAACATTGTTGCTGGAAAACTATTTCTTGTTGTATATCAACTGTGGGAAGCAGCGCTTTAAACTAGGTTTACACTAAAGGAGATTCATCAAGTTTAGAGTACACGAATTCATAGGCGTTTACACTGAAAAGATATTCGGATTCCTAACCGTTTACACGCGACGACAACTCCTGGAACATTCATGATGAAATGGTTAACAAGCTGCCGCCGAAGAGAAGGCTAGGGGTAGATTGAGACAGTCTGAAGTTTTCTTTCCACTCGCTGACCACAGTTTTGTTGTCAATCATGTAGTCCCACCAGGCATTTGTTCTGGTCTTATCCAGAATCGTCCAGGTTTTCGATCGTGCCATCGTCATCTCCGATAAAGTGTGGAGGACGTCAAGATTGTCTGCGTCGATAATTTTGGTTTCTGAGGAATATAGCATTACCCATTATAAGAGATTGTCTGGACCTGTAACAGAATGAGGCAACTAGCGACCGCCAATAATGGTCATCGATGTTCCAACGACTGTGACTACATTACTAGATCCGCCATTTTGGTTCTACCGCAAACTCAAATGATCGCAGGCGGAAAAATATCCGGATTCGTGAGAAGATCGGTTTACACGACAAAACTCTCCGGATTCAAAAGTTCTCGGATTTAAAGTTCCCACTTTAAATTCCGGATTCATTCTCCGGAGACATGACCAAACCGGGGAGATTTTATTTCGGATTCGACCCAATTGCGTGTAAACGGCAAAACCAATCCGGCACTAAAACGTTCCTCATTCGTGACGAATCCGGAATGATTTCCTCCAGTGTAAGCCTATGCCAGCCTTTTCAGCACTGCTTAAAGTCCCGGTCAAACACGCGCAACATTTCAACGCAGTATATTGTAACATCGATACGCGCGACATGTTGCAAAGGTTTGGTCACCCTGTTGTATCATCATCCAACGTCTTGCAACTGGGTGGCTGAAGGGAGGCCAAAAGCGGGCAATATATTGCGCGGGCGCGAGGCCAAACGCGGGCAAGACATTGTGCGGGCGCGAGGCCAAAAGTTGGCAATATTTTGCGCGCGTTTGGACGGGTCATAGAAATTGTTTAGTAAAGGTGTATCAATTCTTTACCATTCATGTCTCTCTTAGGTTTTTAACTGTCCTGGTTGTTCTGAATTTACTGTTGAGTTTGATCCACGATGTGAAACAGAAAGAAGGTACTGTTGACTTTTACCTTTGTCAGTAGTTAGCAAATGCGCTTGGTGACATGTTTAAACGTTTTTAAATGGTTTAACCAAACATGCCAAGGCAACGCTATAAACGAGTGGCAAACATTTGAAAGTCAATATTAATGTAATTCTGAAGTTATTGTTTTGTTTGAATTATGTTGCAGATATGATTACTTAGAATTTACAGATTCAAATGGAAATAAAAAACGTTTTGATCAAAAGGTTGACACTGAAAAGTGGCCGAAGGTATGTCACCATACTGATGAACATTTTTCTGAAACAAGCGAGGTATTTCGACATTTCTTCACTTGCTGAGCTGTGATTATCTTGCAGAGCGTAAACTTCAAAGCTGGAAATCGCCTGCTGTTTAATTTTCACTCAGATGGCAGTAACAATGAATGGGGGTACAAATTCAAAGTAAGAGCAAACTTTATCGACTTGTTTTGCTATTTGATCTTTGCCACTCTCAATTCGGCTGAGATTGTGGCGATCGTTACAGAGCGACGCATCTTACCTTTGCCACGTACGACAGTTTTTAATTAGTTTTTGGCAACTTTTTGACTTAGGTTTTTTACAACTTCTGTTGGCATCCGTTTGAAATAGTCAATCAATCTGCGACAACTTCCCTCCGGTTTCAAACGTTTGCAGGTTTTACAATTTAACATTTCTGCCCTTGACAGCTCCAATGTTTTGACTTGCCGGCTCACATAGAGGCCAGCAAAAATGTGTCAAAAAGATGTCAAAATTTAATTGCTCAAGTGGCGAGGGTGCGACGCGTAGCACTGTAATGTAAACCATGAGTTGACTTCAAAATGTTTTTCTACCTTGGACTACAGGTAACTGCAAAAGGTTCTCCAGATGTAGCTTTGTCGTGGATTTTCGATCTACAGCTTGGAATGGCTCGCCTGTTTGGTCAGCTCTGTAGTGCTGCTCTGGATAGTAGAAAAGGTAGGTGCAAACGACCAGTGTAACATGCAACCTCAACACTGTGAGAGGCACCCAGTGCTGTTAGAACCTTTAGTCGTGGTCGAACGGTGCATTATAGTCCATGATTGTTGATTCTCCCCTAGCTATCATCGACTATCATGAAGAATTTGAACAAGCTCAAAGTGAATGATAGCCGATGTTAGAGCATTAGTTTGTCTTGTGTGATCGTCCGGGTGAAAGTAGTTCTCAAAAGAACTGTTGTCGGTGTGTTATGTTTCGACAACCTGAGCAGAAGTCATCTTCAGAGTCAAGTGAATAGTGTTTGTCAATTGATGGGGGCATAAGTCTGGTCCGTTGAACGTTATTGTCAGTTAAGCCGTGATGATATTAGCTGAAAGACTCACGTAAAGTTTAACAGCGATCATTGGACAGTTTTAGTAAGTTTCGATCCGTCTATTATTAGTCAAATTAAGTCGGTCTGTTTGAGGTCCGTCCGTACATGATAGTTGGCGGTCAAACCGAAGCGCGTGCTATCTATCATCGACTATCATTAACTATCATGCACCGTTTGACCAGACCTTACGTCTAGCATAATCCAAGCCGTTTATTTGGTTACAACATCCACGAAGACAAAGTTGAAATGATTATCCAAGATAACTCTGACCTATCTGTACATCGGATTGGAAGAGCTGCTATTTAGATGGCGAACACAATGAATCGGGTTTATTGAAGTTCTGATTTCCACTAGACTGTTTTTTTTTTTTTTTTTTTTAAACTGAGAAGTGGGTGCCCGGTTTTTCAAGAACAATTTTGAAGCGTCAGTCAATGTTCCATTAGGACAACTTCACACTAGGGACCTAACGACATGAACATAATGACACGTTACGTTTGCCGTGTGAAAATACTGACGTAATGACGTAATAGCAACATAACAGCATGAACATAACGACACAAGGAAAAAAATTGATCTTTTCCTGACTTTGTTATGCCGATGCTCATGTTACCCACACAAGCAATAATGTTATGTCGCTAGTGTTAACCAGGCCTTTTTGGGTAGAATTGTTTTACGCTTGAATTTTCTCATGCGACAGCTGGGTCCGGCTAGCATGTGACTTAAACTTGTTTTTGTTTTCTCTTTGTAGCCTCCCCAACAGTGACAAATGTAGACAACGAAGAAGAAACCAAGTTACTACAGAGTGAGATCTGGACCACCCTTTTTCGTGGAGGATATATGACAGGCAAACTGCAAAGGTCTCTTTCTGGTTACCACGTGAGTGATGTTTGTTTGTTTGGTTTTTTGTCAAAATCACACTTTTTAAATGCCATCGTGAACTTCGAAAGTCTCATTGGTCAGCCAGATAGATTGCTCTCGTTTTCCGATATTGGGTTTGAGTAGTACTCAGCTTTGCAATTCTTCATTTCTTTGCTTACATAGTCCTTAAGCTTCTTGTAACGTGACCAGAGTTGAGAAGAGTTAAATTTAATAGCCTTGCGATGGAGATAATCGCGTTGGCAATAGCTTTTGATAACCGCGAGTTCATCCACGGACAGCGAATTCCACGTATCCTTGCTTTCCTCACAGGCACCTGTCTATCGGCAATATTAGTAAACAATTTGTTCCAAGTGGAGACGGCAGAGTCAACATCTTCCTTGTTTTTATTATTATTATTATTCTATCACAGGCAACAACAGGTACTCCAGTGGAAAGTTCCGTCAACTCCTTCCTCCACGGGATCATGAGTGGTGATAACAGCACCATGGAAGACGTTATTAAAAGGTTTGTGTCCAGCTGAAGGCGAGTTGGTAAGCATTTGGACTTAACGGTCTGTGACTTGATGATGCAGTGATGTACGATGGAAGTAAAGCGAAGACGTTGAGCAAGTTAGAAATGAAATTCATTAACCCAAAGTAGCCCAACTAGTTTGAAATAAATAATCATTAAGGAATATCATTACACTTTGCGTTCTGAAGGCAGAACGGAAGAAAATAGCACGTTGGCTACATGGCGTTTGGAACTCCTTTCGATCTATTTGTCCACGTGACATCATAGTTTAATGACAAGGATTTGATACCACATAACTTTAACCTAGTGATAGAAAGCCAAGTATGAGGTCTAGAAGCTCATAGCTTTGTTAGTCTAACCATTCACAGACTGGCTTTTGTTTGCATAACTTCTGGTTGCTGGGCTAATGAAGACACACACCCCGCCCTGTTGACAATGAAAGTTTTGCCCTTTTTATTGTTCAGTTGATCTGTTCAGCTACACGAATTGTAGACAAAATGGCACCATGAAAATATCAATGGTTCATTTTCCCTTCAGGTGTCGTGAGAAGGCCCCTGGGCCATTTATTGGAGGTCCTCTGGTAGACAAAGCTGTACACTCTGTCTTTGCTGCTCTCATTTGGCATTCGCAGGAATTGAGGGACCAGGTTGTACTTTTTGGTAGGTAGACCTACAAGTACTTTGTTTTCCACTTAACTACAAATATGGTAGCAAGACAATCAATTCAAGCCATTGTGAGGCAGTTGAACGCATTGCCTTCTGGAAGTGTTATTCTTTGTCGGCTTTTGCATTAAGCATACTTTGTGTCATTTCCAATTACAGTATGGCGTTAAATGATACCTTTAATTTTTTGTTTTTGTTTTTCAGCCAATAGCACACCTCCTGAAGCTGTCCCAGAAGGCGTTCAAGACGCGTATTTAACGGCGGAGTCTCTCAGACGTGGTTTGGTATGTGTTATATTAAACACATTTTCACATCCTGTAGTTCCTCATTTTTGCTGGAAGTCAAGACTAGATTTGAAACAGTGACGTTTCAGTCCTTGTTTTTTGTTTTTATTCTCGGATTATCTCCCGTCTGTGCTCGTTATCCTCTTACGTCCCAGTCACAAATTAAGTAAGATATCAAACATGAAAGACCGTGTTTGACCACATTTCCTAACACCAGGAACAGATTTGAAAATACGGCACGCAGCGGACTACTTTTAATGAACTTTGATGTGTTTGGAAATGTGGTCAAACACTGTGTTGGCGTTTGATATATCTTCTCAATCGAAACCAAAACTAAGGAGAAAATGGAGAAAAATATCGTAAAACATCCATGCGAATTAAGATAAGATTCGATTTCCAAACGCCGTCACGGTCATGATTTCCTTTGTCTAAACATGATGAATCATTAAACAGTTTGAGAAGTACATATTATATATTACATATTATCGAAACCAAAACTAAGGAGAAAATGAAGAAAAAAAAATCGTAAAAATCTATGCGAATTAAGATCAGATTTTCAAACACCGTCACGGTCATGATTTTCTTTATTTAAACTTGATGAATTATTAAAGAGTTTGAGAGGTACATATTACATATTGCTTTGTTTATGTAGCGAGCTATTTCAAAAAGTAGGATTCCTACAACATTTCAACTTACAGGCAACTCTTTGTTATAAATTTCAAGGTTGATCGTCGCCAGCGTTTGATTCTGCAAGCTGAAGAAGAATCTACCCAGGAAAGCAGCTCTTCTCAAAAAATCAACCCAGACACACCTGGTATGTCCTAAAAAAGTGCTAGGCTGCGACCAAGATCCTGTGATCATTATTAATAAAATGTACTGTAATTTATGTTTAGCGAGGTTTGCGCCCAATAACAAGCTAGCATTTTAAAAGTCTGCATAGAGCCAAGTGGCCCATGAGGCCGGAGCTTATCCCGGTTTCTGTAACATGAAGCGACTAGGAGTATTTCTGTCCCCCCCCCTGGATGGGATGTTAGTCCATCGCAGAGTTACCCCCAACATTTGTACACCTGGGTGGAGAGAGGCACTGTGAGAGTAAAGTGTCTTGCCCAAGAACACAACACAATGTCCCCGGCCATGTCTCAAGCCCGGCCCGCTCGATCCGGAGTCGAGCGCGCTAACCATGAGGCCAACGCGCGTCCCACGCTAGCAGTTTGGCTTGTATTTTCTCTGTTTTCAAAATGCATGTTACAGTAACGTTACATTTTTGGTTTTAGTGATCGCCTGTAAAGAAAAGGCACAGTTTCTTCTCAAGTTTGCTGGGTTGCAGAGAATCACTGACAAAAGCGCAGAGGTATAATTATTATTAGCTACAGTGTAGAAACCAGTTTGATTTACAATCAGTGACAACTGTTTTGCAATTAAGAAATAGAAAACATGTCCCGTGTTTCTATTGAGGTTTAGTATAAATCTACTAGCGTTTATTACAAATGCCGTTCTCTGATTGGCTACGCTACTCACTATCTATTCTGTGATAGATTGTGAGTAGCATAGCAGTGAACCCTTGTTAACAAAGTGACGGCCGCTTCTTGGCGTTGTCGAAGTGTCTGTGAAGAGGATTTAGATAAAGTCTATTAGACTATTAGATTTATACTAAAACGATCAGATTATTCGCTCTCAATTTCTATGCGTGATAGTTGACTCGGGCTGCGCCCTCGTCAACTATCACACGATAGAAATCTCGAGCTCATAATCTAATTGTG